AAAATAAACTGACACAGAAACGCATGGGTATAATGCTTTACTTGAAATGATCATCTTGTGGTTCACAGCCCTGAAAAGAAGCCAAGGTAATTCACAGCCAAAGCCACAAGGGTAACAAGAGTAAAAATGTCGCCTGCGTGGATGGGAATGCAGGCAGGCCCACACATGAGTCAGCAATAAAGGCAGAAAACAGCTTAGCTGCTGCCTTCCCGAGCCCAGCTGCATATGTGGGGAAGGAGTCCCCAAGATGCCAGGCCGGGACCAGCACATCCTGAGGACAGAAGCCTTAGGCACGGTTGTAAGGCTGAGGGACCCTGGAATCCAACGGAAATGATAGTAGGGGCTTTGATGGGCTGATGAGTACAGAAAGACAAATACACCTACATGTAAGGAAGTGAGACTAAAGTGTCAGCTCATGCAAGAAAAGCGTCATCCAAAAGAAATGCTCCGTAAACCTTACACACATGCAACTCCATAAAGACAGCCCTCCATATCTCTGAGCTTTAACCCCATGCATTCAACCAACTACAGATCAAAAATATGTTTTTAAAAATTTGTGCTGGACATGCAGAGACTCTTCTCCTTGTCGTTATTCCTAAACCAAAGGTACAAGTATTTACATGGTCTGTCCATGGTGTGGTGTCCTAAGTAACCTAGAGATGATGTACAGTGTGCAGGAGCATGCACGTAGGTTCTACCCAAACACTGCACCATCTCGTGTAACAGACTTGTGCGTCCATGGATGGTGATATCCTCAGGGGCCTGAAATCAATCCCCCTGCAGACACCAAGGGATGCCTGTGTATGACTCTAGTGCTGGTACAAGTGTGTAGCAGTCTCTGGATTCTTGTATCACTCGAGGACGTTTCTCATGTGAAGAAGAGGAGACCAAACCAGCATCAGCGTAAACTAACGGGAGCTTTAATTACCACATAACAACTAGCTGGAAGGGGCAACTACAGCCTTGCTTCAGACTCAGCAATGTTGGGGACAATATCTTTGCCATCTTCCTACTTTCCCCTCATGGTCACTAGCAGACTGCCAGACCATATCCAAGGCACGTGGCCAAGAAATGTCAGTGCTGGTGTGTATGTGTCAAGACACTCAGCCACACACCGCAGGTCTCAGTCTCCACCTCCCTGAGCCAAGACATGGGCACGCTCAGCCACAGGTCTTGCTAGGAAAACAAGCATGTAGCTGTTCCAAGAAAAAAGCATTAGAGTGCTTGTTGGCTCAGACAGCCAGGAGTGAATTCCACAAGCACTGACAGTCCAGGCACAGGGATGGATCTCCCACCTCAAACCTGGACCCTGTGGTTGCATTCCAGTAGCATGGTAGGAGGAACATGGGAGTCGTCATCTAAAGGTCGTGTTCCATCATGGAACTGTCAGTTGTTAGCTGTGACTTCAGGTGAGCAGTAGTCTGAGTGCAATTCCCTCATCTCAGTATTAGGAGATGCAGAGCATCTCTCTGGATGCAATTCCCTCGTCTCAGTATTAGGAGTAACAGTACCTACTTTACAATGTGGAGGATAGAATTGAGAGCATCAACACTAAAATCACTGGTAAAGTGTTAATTCTTATTATCATGCTAGTTATTTTCTGTGAATGCAAAGCAAGTACTAAGTCCACATAACCAGATAAAATGTAAGATGCTGATCGCCTGATCTGTTTTCACAAAGCAAGGTAGAGAATTTCTTACATTCTAGATACAGTTGCCGAGCTCTTAAAACTTCTTTCCTTCTGAAAAATCACAGAATTCCTTCTACTTTGGAAGATTTTCAGTTCCTACGAGTGAAACATAAATCCACATGCACCCAACAACCAAACTACTGCATTCCCTTTAAAGACAGTTATTTTTATAAATGCAAACTATTTTCCATTCAGAAGGTTTGCTATGATACCCCAGAAAGCATTTACGTGCTTGGAAAGGCACTGCTTTCCAACAAAAATTCCAAAAAAGAGAGGCGCCCAACTGGTTTTAAAAGTTCTTTTTTATAATTAAAAAGTTTAACTGATTATATATACATATGTATAAAGTTATTTATATATATACATATATCCGCAAAGTACCACGTGCTGTTTGGATACATGCATACTTGTGTAGTGTTTAAATTAGGTTAGGCATATTTACTCCCAAAACATTTATCAGTTATGATTTTGCTGAAATTCAAACTTTTTTCTAGCCTTTGAACCGTACAGTGCATTACTGCTATCTGTAATCAGCCTCCCCTGCAGCAGCACACAGGGTTTCTCCCCGCATCAAACCATAGCTCAATACCCACTGATCGCCTCTGCTCTTCACCGCTCCCCCTCTGCTCTCCCAGTCTGTGAACACCTCTCTTCTCTTCTTCTTGGACAGCATGCCGTAGCTATCTTTCTGTGTCTAGTTTACATGACATTGTGAGAAGTCTTTGCATTGTGAAAATAAGTAGCATGGAATTCCTTATCAAACAACTAATTATTCTCTGATTTATCTTCTTAAAATACATCTTGTCCTGGACATAAATAGCAACCACAACTAAAGAATTTTAACTCCTTGGAAAATAAAAGGCACTAATTACAATACGATCATAAAAAGCACCAATAATGGAATTTTACATTGAGAACGGGCTGACATATTGTAGCCGCTGCACACAGCACTGTAACTCCAAAGGTAATACATTTACTCCCTCAACATAATCCAAAATTTTCAAAGAGCTTTAGCCATCAAATTTATAGAATCCTATGATGTGTTGATGATGGAAAAATTTTGCCTAACTCTAAAATTAAATGCAAATACAAAGATCTCTTTTGCTGACTTTGTAAACCCCTTTCCAGGACTCATCTCTGCTTCTGCAGTCGACTCAGAATGTCACCGTAAATGCACGAAACTCAGACGGGGAGGTCACGGGCAGGTTAAAAGTGGGTGAGTCCAAGTCCTCGTATGTCTTTATGTGCGTGGGGTCCAGGAACGGGGCTCCACAGATAAAGGGCTTTTCCTTCCAAGGACTAAGAGCTTATGTAAGAGCAATCACACATGAATTTTCTAAAATCCACGTTGTGCTAACAACCAAAAATAACACCATGGACTGGGCGGGGGACAGCCTGACTTTTCTTTTTCAAAACAAAATGATAGGAATTAACAATGGTTGTTATATTACATATTGTTATCTTCAACGAAGTTGCTCAGATTACCAGATATAAGAATGCAAGATTGATCTAACCATTAAAGAAAATAAAAAGTAATTTAAAAAGGAAACAATACAGAGCTTCACTAGACAAGGTGGCAGGAATTCACCAATGGTTGTTATATTGCATATAGTTGTCTTCAGATTAGTTGTTCAGATCACCAGATATAAGCATGCAAAATTGGTAGAGAAACTTAGAATCATCCAAGCTAGTGTGAGACACAGAATACTGACTACAGAATAAAAACAAGAATCTCCCAGTGACCAAAGTAAAGGAACCAAAGTAGCTGGCCTCAAAAGCCCAGGAGCCAGGGGCTGAGAGCCCTAGCCCCGTTCTGATTCTGTTCCTCTCCTCTTCGTTCCCACCCGCTGTTGCTTTCTCCCTTCTCTCATCTCCCTTGTCTACCCTCCCGCTCTTGCGCACTCCTCACCCCCAAGTGCTCCATCCTCCTCCTCTCCAGCGTGTGTTTGTCCCTCATTTCCTCCACTCTGCAGGACCTGGAGCCTCTGTGGCTCGTCTGATTCACTGTAGTCCTCACCATCAACCATCTTCTTCAGTTGTGCAAATTCCAAACTTCCAGCAGAGCCCTCAATGGGTGAGCCCAGCCCCTGTTCAACCAGCCTCCCCTGGCACCTACGCCCACCCCTCTAAGGGGTGAAGGCCAGAGGATCTGGGCCTGTGGGGGTGAGGTCACATGGAGGCCCACAGAGTGGGAAAGGGTCCACAAGAAAGGACACACGCTTGGATTCAACCAAACACAATGGAAAACATGCGAAAAAATGCTCTTATACTGAACATGGACACACTTTCTTCTCTTGTCAGTATCCCCAACAATGCAGAGTGGCAACTCTTTGCATGATATTTCCATGTTGCCGGTCATCTGGAGATGGGGGAAAGGACACAGCAGGACTGTGTAGGTTGTGTGCGGACACTGTCTAGGTAGGGAACTCAGGCACCAGTGGGCTGGGATCTGCAGAGGGCCCTGGCACTAGTTCTGCAAGGATTCTTAGAAGCATGTGTAGATGTAAGAAATAAGGAAAGAGAAAAACAGCTGGGAAAAGCAAGGCAGAGCACCCTCTACAGCATCCATACTGCACAGATGGTAAACCTACAAAACTGGATGACTTTTGTGACTTCGGGAGAATGTGGGAAATGTGTATGGCCACGACCGTCACACACTGGAGACCCTCGGGTCCCCCTTTTTCCTGGGCTTCTGCAGAGCAGATACTGTAATGCTGAGCTGGACAGTGAAGCTATATGTTAACCAGATGGTTACTTTTATTGTACTGTGCAAGGCATTTAATATTTGATGGTCTGTTTCAATTCTTTTTGATAAAAGAATATACTGACTAAGGATTACTACAGTTAACATTGCTACAGTAAAAACAATGACAAACAGGGGTTTGGCACCCCATTTACAAAATAAAAGCATGCACTATTACTACACTTTAGATGTCTCCCAGCAAGAAGGCCATGATGGTGGAAAGCAAGAGGTAAACTCCCTCTGGCTCACACAAACAAGCAAGAACCAAAGTGGTCGATTTAGTAGTAATGTAGAGGCAAAGTCACTGGTTCCGTCTGGAATTTAGCAATTTGCACTTCTTCTTGCCTGGTGTGTCTTTATCCCTGAAGCTGACTTTATCATACCACATCAGCATTTATCTAGTAATTTGGTAATTAGCATAAACAAGGTTAACCTCAGTCATAAGCTTAAAAGAGAGCTAGAAGCTTACTGCAGAACTCTGCAGTGGAATTACCATTCAGAAACCATCATGGTGTTTTGAGCAGGATGGCAACATAATTTCATTCCAAAAGTCCTTTTTCAGCCCTAAGAACTCGGGAGAATTTTAAGTCTGGCAGTGTTACATTCCGGACCACACCAAGACTTAAAAACAGAGTTGCTAGTAAGAGGACTATTTTCCAGATGATCCAGTCACGTCATGTGCCTAGTTGAGACTCTGTTTTAATAAAGGTCCTTTTCCAAATAAATAAAATTTCATAGAGTTATTCTTCTCTTGTTGAAAAAACTTGCTAAATAAACTAGTGATTAGTTAAGAAGAAAAAACTAAGCTATGTGTGGATGTTCTGGAAGGCAGCACCTCCACTTCACACCTGCCCTAAACATTTGAGATTATAAAACCCAAGCGATGTCTACATGATCAAAGCACACTTCACAGTTGTTCTAGTTCTGAGGTCTGACTTTAGCGTCTTACGTCAGTTAAAGTTCCCTAATGCAGAAGCCTGTGCCAAAGAGTGCTAAGATTCGCATGCTGCTGCCAGTCCCTGGTCCCACCATGCTTGCCCCGCCCCAGGAGGCAGTGGAAGATGGCTGGTCTCAACAATCCATGCTGCACACTGTTAGCTTTGCTAACATCCCGCTTCTTCAACAAAGTCCACATTCCTTTAAGTTATTTTTCATGATGACATCTGCAACGGCATCAAAAACAAACTGCACATTCTTGGCATCTGTGGCACAGTAGGAGCGTAGATCTCCTCGGTATCTTTCAAACTGACACTGAGGGTATCAGCTGGCTCTTCATATGTACTAGAACCTGTGTATTCCGGATACCAGATAGTTGATGGACTCTTCTTTATTTTTTCTTCAGAAAGGTCTTCTTATTAAGGAAGAGAATGATTGAAGCGTCTGTAAACCATTTGTTGTTACAAATGCTGTCAAAGAGTTTCATGTTTTCACACATTCGGTTCACCTCCTCATCCCCAGCTCAAACGAGGTCACAGTCACTGAGGGTCACAGAAAAGATAAATTGCTGTCACTCCTTCCAAGCAGTGAATCCATTTTTTTCATTCTGCTCTTTGGCCACCTACATCAAGCATCCTGAAGTGCAGGTCTTTGAAGGTGAAACGAGTCTTCACAACACCCCTGGAGACTCAAGTGTTCTTCAGTCTAGGGGGAAGAACATCTTGCTGAGTTGGCATGCAGTTGGTTTCTGATGTTCTGTTCAAATCATTGAGGTAATACGAAGCAGAATCCTTGAGCTGATAGTCCCCAGCTCTGCTAAAGCACGCCTGCACCCCACCACCTCCCCATAACCTTGCATCGCTCCTGCTGATCCTGAAGTCACGATTCCTCCTTCAGCACTGCCAGCTCAAACAAGTAATTGCTGAGCATCATCTGCTCTGGCGGCTTCCCCAAAATCAACTTCAGCCGACCCATGGCGCTTATGATTGCAGTGATGGGCTGTATAGTGTGGCGCAGACAGCTACTTTATATTGTTTACATTCTTCATCCGAATAGCCATCTTGATGAACGGTTTTCATCTGTTTCACAGTGGGACTTTTACCAGATTCTGCAGCATGAGTAACGGCAGCTTCACTTCTTTGGCTGCTTTCTCCCCGTCCTCCTGCAAGTTGCCTCTTACTCCATCCCGCCGCCTTGTCTTGGGCCTGGTGGTGCAGCCCAGGCCGGGCAGGAGAGGGAGCAGGCGGGCTCACCACACACCCCAGGGACTGCAGCTTCACTGTGTCAGCCAGCATCTACTGCCCAGCCGGCCCTCTCCCTGCACAGCTTGTGCCATTTACTGTGGATGATGAGTTGTGGTTCCTCCTTTGCTTAGACAGAATCGGCAATCACCCCATCTACTGAAATTTTCACTCAGTCTGGAAATGAACCTCAGTTTATCCAACATCCATGTTCTTGAAACTTGGCAAAATCAACTCCTATTTTCTTGATGAGTTATATAGCATTATGATTTATTTCTTCAAAATCCTTAACTGCCTATAGTGCTTAAGTATTTGAAAGGTTTTCTGCTCACACTTATTCATTGAACAAGTATATGCTGAAGGTCTAGTGCTGGTGTCTGTATCCTGTCCAGTAATGACATATAGATAGTATGAAATTAGTTTTTAAAAGTTCCAAAGGTGGAAAAATTTTTTCTACGCGTGTGAGGGTTCATCAGCACAGACACTCATTTGTTTATCTTTGTGTTAATGGGATTTTCGTGCAGCATACAAGACGGAGATCATATGGACATGCCCCTCATAGCAAAGGTGGGAAAAGGGAGCCTTAACAAGCTCCTTCGTCAGGAACACATGGCTGGTTGGGAGGAAAGTGACAGTGGAAATGCCCAGGGCTTGCTTCCTCCACAGCCCTGTTCTCTCCTTTCTCCCCTTCAGTTTCCCGAAACCAGGGCAGGCCAGAAACTCTCCTACCTGCATGAATACATTTCCCACTTTTGCCGTCAAGGAATTACAGGGGTTATATCAGTTTTTGTCAGGAAAATTCACCCACAGAAATTACTGTTGTCAAACATGTTAAACTTGGCCTCGCCTGCCCAATTATGTGTTTACATTGGTAATTACAAACCTTTGGATGGAAAGTGTCTCATCTCGAGGGACCTTGAGCTGGAAGCATTTCTCACTTGACCAGGTCCAGGAGATTTTTCTTTCAGTAAATGTCTTCCCCCAGTTGCCTTTCAGCTCCACATTTCCAGGAAAACTTTAACGCTGGTCAGTTTGGATATTAAAATGTAATGTATTTGAAGTAGCCACATTAATCCCATTTAGCTAAAGGAGTAACTGCTTTTTATTAAACCACTGAAAAAATTAGCATCAAAAGCAATCAAGACCAAATTTCCTAGAGGAAATCAAGTTTTACAAAGCATCCACTAGGAACTAGTATTTCAAATCTCTAAAAAAAAAGCCCAACAACAAAAGACTCTTACAAGTGGTAAATGCAGCTAAAGTTACTACAGTTAATTTCCCTTGGATTTGAAATGG